CTGTCGTCCTAACAGTCATCTTATTCTGTCGTCTTTACTATCAATCCTAACAGTCATCTTATTCTGTCGTCCTTACCGTCGTCTTTACTGTCATCCTAACAGTCGTCCTTATTGTCGTTTTGTTCTGTCGTCCTAACTGTCATCTTATTCTGTCGTCTTTACTGTCGTCCTAACTGTCATCTTATTCTGTCGTCTTTAATGTCTTCCTAACAGTCATCTTGTTCTGTCATCCTTACTGTCGTCTTTACTGTCGTCCTAACTGTCATCTTGTTCTGTCATCCTTACTGTCATCTTTACTGTCGTCCTAACTGTCATCTTTACTGTCGTCCTAACTGTCATCTTTACTGTCGTCCTAACTGTCATCTTCTTCTGTCGTCTTTAATGTCTTCCTAACAGTCATCTTATTCTGTCGTCCTTACTGTCGTCTTTACTGTCGTCCTAACTGTCATCTTTACTGTCGTCCTAACAGTCATCTTATTCTGTCGTCCTAACAGTCATCTTATTCTGTCGTCTTTACTATCAATCCTAACTGTCATCTTATTCTGTCGTCTTTACCGTCATCCTAACAGTCATCTTATTCTGTTGTCCTTACTGTCGTCCTAACTGTCATCTTATTCTGTCGTGCTTAATGTCGTCTTGTTCTGTCATCAGAACCTTCATCAGCACTGTAAAATTAGTTTCACATTTCATATTTGACTAGGCTCCTTTAGGGACCGTCTGCAAATTTACCTCGCAGTACAAAATTAAAAAATTAATGTTTAGAAAAAAACTACTGTACTTCACCAAAAAAGGCTTTTTTTATGTTCCAAAGGTTGTAGTATGTACCTAGTTACAAAACGTATGAGTTTGCCAATATCTCCCTTACTGTATGTACAGTGCACAAATTATTTTATGAAAAAATTACAGTAATTTACCAATAGGTTTTTTTCATGTTCCAAAGGTTGTAGTATGTTCCTAGATACTGACATGTGAGATTTTGGCAGTATCTTTCATTATATAGGCCTATGTACAGTACACAATTATTTTCATAAAATGTACTGTACGCAAAGTTTTTTTGTAGGTTGTATTACATTTGCAGTTACAAGACTGACTTATGATTTGTGAAATTTTGCTCATACCTCCTTTACTGTATGTACAGTACACAATTATTTTCATAAAATGTACTGTACGCAAAGTTTTTTTGTAGGTTGTATTACATTTGCAGTTACAAGACTGACTTATGATTTGTGAAATTTTGCTCATACCTCCTTTACTGTATGTACAGTACACAAGTATTTTTAGAAAAAAATATAGTAATTTATCAATAGTTTTTTTTTATGTTCCAAAGGTTGTAGTACATTCCTAGTTATGAGAATGGCTTACTACAGGTGATATTTTGCCAATATCTCCTTTACTGTATATGCAGTACACAAATATTTTTAGAAAAAAATTACTGTAATTTATCAAAAGGGTTTGTTTATTTTCCAAAGGTTGTAGTACACTCTTAGTTACAAGACTGACTTACTACAAGTGAGATTTTGCCAATACCTCCCTTACTGTACATACAGTACACAAATATTCTTAGAAAAAACTACTGTAATTGGCCAAAAGGGGTTGTTCATGTTCTAATGCTTGTAATACATTCCTAGTTACAAGACTGACTTACTACAGGTGAGATTTTCCAATATCTCCTTTACTGTATGTACAGTGCACAATTATTTTTAGAAAAAGGTTGTAGTGTTTTCTTATTTACAAGACTGACTTACTACAGGTGAGAGTTTGCCAATATCTCCCTTACTGTATGTACAGTACACACATAGTAAAAAAAACTACAGTTATTCACCAAGAGGGTTTTATCATGTTCCAAAGGTTGTCTTATATTTAGTCAGTTTTGCCCACTAGTAATTTACCAATAGGTTTTTTTGTTTTGTTTCATGTTCCAACGGTTGTACTACAGTAATTTTAATGAAAATAATTGTGTACTGTACATATATGACGGGAGGTATTGGCAAAATCTCACACATAGTATCTACAATGTCTTGTATCTAGGAACATACTTCAAACTTTGGAACATGAAAAAAAACCTATTGTAAATTACTGTAATTTTTTCATAAAATATTTGTGCATTGTACATACATTAAGGGAGATATTGGCAAACTCATAAGTTTTGTAACTAGGTATATACTACAACCTTTGGAACATGAAAAAGCCTTTTTGGTGAATTACAGTAGTTTTTTTTGTAAACATATGTGTGCACTGTACGTCCAGTAATGCAGGTATTGGCAAAATTTCACAAATCATAAGTCAGTCTTCTACAACCTACAACCTTTGTAACATGAAGAAAAAAAATACAGTAGCCTAATTTTTCCATGAAAATATTTGTGTACTGTACAGACTGTAAGGGAGATGTTGGAAGTATTGTCTAAGGCGAGACATTGGCAAAATATATTTAGTCAGTTTGCCCACTAGGCATTTACTATAGTCCTGTGAACATTAATTTGAATGAATTATTGTACTTCGTTTTGTACTGTGAGGTAAATTTGCAGACGGTTCCTAAAGCAGCCTAGTCGAATATGAAATGTGAAACTAACTTTACAGCGCTGATGAAGGTTATGATGACAGAACAAGATGACAGAATAAGATGACAGTTAGGACGACAGTAAGGACGACAGAATAAGATGACAGTTAGGACGACAGAACAAGATGAGAGAACAAAATGACAATAAGGACGACAGTAATTAAACGACAGAGAATAAGCAGGCAGGACGACAGATTAAGACAACGTCAACAGACAACTTACACTCCTACATATACTGATTTACCTGAACAAGCAGGCAATGACTGTAAACAAAGGCAAATGTATAGTACAAAGCACAAAGCACAAAGCAGTCAACTAATTTTTGACACAAATGGAACCTCATACAAAATGACAATAAGGACGACAGTAATTAAACGACAGAGAACAAGCAGGCAGGACGACAGATTAAGACAACGTCAACAGACAATTTACAAGCCAACATATACTGATTTACCTGAACAAGCAGGCAATGACTGTAGACAAAGACAAATTTATAGTACAAAGCACAAAGCTAATTTTTGACACAAATGGAACCTCATATTATAGTCACTGCAGGCGTAAGGAAGTGATGTGCGTCTCCTCCTTCAGCGCGACACGCCCAGCTCAGGAAAGCGCCTTTTTAACGTCCTGGGATCGGTTCAGGTAATTCAATTATGACAAAATTTAATTTTTAAACATAAAAAGGTATATGTATAGGCGAGAAAATACACGAAACTCTTGCTACTGCTCACCCTTCAATCCTAAGTCATGCTAAATGCGTTGTTGAAGTTGAGTCAGTGGTTTCGCGTGTTAGCGCTATCCCAAGAAATCAGTTTCTCTGACCTTTTGTACGCCTGAAAAACGCTTTTGTGCTCCTTTTCTCCCAAATGCTTTTTCTTTAATCTGACAGAAGATGCCATGTTCGTTTGATCTTTGCGTAGGACGTGTCTTTTGTTCAGAGTAACGTTATGTTAACGTTAATTTACGTTACCTCTCGAAGTTTCCAGCTGTTGTAGGCTGCACATGTGTGACATTCAGCCCCAGATGTTATAGCGGTCTGGCACTTTGTTCATTCTTATGCAGTGCTGGGTTTTGTATATCTCAATGAGAGATTGGTTTTGTTCTTTCAGACTCTCTATAGAGATAAAATAAGCTTGGTTTTACGTTACGTTTCTCAGTCAACCAGTAGGCCTACTAACGCGAGTTACCTACATGCTCGAACAATTGTTATGAGTCATCTCAGGTTTTTTTTTTTTTTTGTAATCTTAACCCTTAACATAAAACCTGTTGTTGCAGATATGTCCTCGTTAAGTGGAAAATCTGATAAGGAGATCAGTCAGCTGCTGGATGAATATGGCATTAAACATGGACCCATAGTAGGTATGTGATAAGCCTTTAGTCTTTTAGAATAAGTTGTAACATTATAGCCATAAAAAAACGATATTAATTTAAACAAAGTATGTAAAAAAATATTTTTATTTAAATCATTTTAATTGAATTTCTTCATTTTTTAATTCATTACATTTTAGCACTAACTCAGGAAAGCATGGTAAAGCGCGTTTGTTTTTCAGTGACTCCGGGGAAAGTTGTGCTGTGATTTGGTGGCGGTTTTGTTTTTACAGAATCCACACGGAAGCTCTATGAAAAGAAACTGAATGAAGCCATGGGCAAAAAAGCTAAGCCTTCCTCGCCTGACAAGACATACTACCGGGAAGAAAGTAAGGCTTCTCTTAAAGGGGTCCTATTATGCTCTTTTACAATGTCTTGATTTTGTTTTGGGGGTGTACTAGAACATGCTCTCATGCTTGATGGTTTGAAAAACGCATTCTTTTTTTACATAATTTACATTATTACAATACCTTTATCCCCATCCTGGCACAAACGGCTCAATTAGTTCCGGGTTCCGGGCCCGCCTTCCGAAAAACGAAATGTGATGTGATTGGTTAGCTGTCCCAGTGCGTTGTGATTGGCGAACAGCTTAGACGGTGTTTCAGTACTGCCCCGCCCCTTGCCAAAGCGGCAAGTTTCCGTCTGCTCCGGTTTAGTTAAGGATGGCGTCAATATTGCCATATCAATTTGAGCCGGATTCAGACCCCAAGAATATTGAACACGAGGATCGCGCAGAACCTTTGCACGTACGGATATTGCAAGACATATAGTGGTAACGTTATTGTTGTTGTCTTTTTTGGGCTAAATGACGTTTTAGATAGGATGTCAACAACCGCTTAAAAATAAGTGCATTTACTATGTACAGATAAGTGCATATTTTTTTTATTATTATGTAATTCTAACATTATTGCAGTGAAACTGTTATACAGTGGAATTATTTATACCATAGTCCAGTGTTTCCCAGGCGGGCGGCATATATATGCAAACTCCTTCTCTTCCAGCAGGAGGCGCTGTTGGAAAGGTAGAGATCAAGGTTTCCCGGTAACGCTGTACACAAAGCAGCGCTCCGCTCAAAAAAGCACTGCTTTATCAGACATTACGTGCAAGATTAAATGAAAATGATGGGTTTCCTTCAGAAATACAGTGATATAAAAACACCTGCACTCAATGTATGGGAAACACTGTAGTCTCATAATTGAAGTGTAAATTCTGCAGATTACATCATTGTCCAGTATTGTACTGTCAGCAATTTATTATAAAAACGTTTTCATAATTGTAACATACATATTTACATACATAATTATTCAGGTGCATGTGTAATAACTTGCGAAAACTTGAGGCTACAGCAGCACTTCTTCTTCGTTGTCTTGTCTGATGCACTCTTACCAGACCTCGTCTTGCCTTCTAACCAGACCTCGCCCCTCCCCACCCCCCAAACATTCAAGTTTCCATAGGCGGGAATTATTTTAATGATATTCTAATGGGCCGCTTTGTGATATCCGGAAAACAAATGCTGTAGTCCAAACGAGCCATTCATTGTAGTTCTTGAAAAGGGATTAAAAAAAAATGAAATATCTCCCTTTGGAGTGGACTTTGAGATTTGTAAGTCCGCAAATAGTTTTTTTATGCCCAAACATACACACTACACACTGACTAAAATTCAAAAAGTGAAAAAGCATAATAGGACCCCTTTAATAAAAAAGAGACAGTCTTTGACTTTCCCCATATTTAGAGTGTAGAATTACAATTGTAAAATTTGCTTTTGTTTTCATAGAGGAGGAAGTTGAATATATTACCTATCATCAGCCCGTAAGTAAAAACTGAACTGAACTTGAAGGGTTATATCACTAGATATGTAGTCTAAGACATTTTTCATTTTCAGCAGCCACAACTGACCAGACACGATGGATTTGGTGATGTGTAAGTAGCATATTTTATTTTGCAGAGTATGTTTCTGCAGGTCTTAAAAAGTCTTAATGTGCCCTTCCACAATTTAAGGTCTTAAAAAGGTCTCGAATCAGAGCAGAAAGTCTTAAATTCATAAAGTCATAGTATGAAATTTTGCATGTGTTGTTAAAAATAAATACCTTTCTCAGTATTTTTATTTTCCAATACAAATAACTGAAACATTCTTAAATCAGGATACATCAAAGTCTTGAGAAATTTCACAAAATTAAGTGAGTTTATGCTTAAAACAAGAACAAATACAGTACGTGTCAAAAAGGGTATGAAATCTTTTTCCATATTCTATTTTTGTAGAATGAATTAAAAATGAACAGGAATCGATTGGAAGTTGTATTTTCAAACTTTGAAGTTATACAACATAATGACACAGGACATACACAGAAAATCGAAGCAGTAATCTGAAATCACAATCATAACGTCTATTAAAATGTCTTGCTGAGATCACAAATATCCTTCTGATATGCTTACAGTAATTGTATATGTGTGATCCCTCCCCAGCACAAGGAGGGCAAAGGTCACCGATGCAGATTTTGCCCACAAGTGAGATTCATTCATTCATTCCCTTTTCATCTTTTTTTTTTAAGCTTTCCACATAAATGTAACTGGATATATGCTTTCTCTCCTCAGCATACGGTCAAATCTGACTGATTACAGAGATGACAACATAGGCTATACCAATGAGTGAGGTTTTCTTTTAATAATATTATTTAACAATTATCTTATTTTCGGCTTCTCCTACAACAGGTTACTACAATTTGACTGTAATACTGTAGTATAATAACCACACTCAAAAATCAATGAAATATCCTTCCTGTCTATGTTGAAGGCCGGTTATCAGCCCAACTCGTATGTCCTATCAGAGTTCTTCTCGGCTTGGCCCATCAGTCTCCACATCCATGCAGCGTGGTCCATCCAGTCCAGAGACCAGCAAATCTGGAGGTGTGCCGGGCTGGCTTCGTATCTTGGTGTTTCTTATCATTGCTGTGTTTCTTTATTATGTGTACACATGTATGGAGCCTGCAGAGGAGACCCCCTTTAAAAGCGTTGCGTAGAGGAATGGTGAGGGGTTAAATATGTTCATCAGCCCCAACCTAAACTGATTCTGTACAAGAACAACCATAAATATTGCCTGGAATAAGAGCTTACAAAATAATATTCGGTATGAGTACAGATAGTGAAGTTTAGTACCAGTTGTCGTACAACCATGGACTTGTGCATAATGCGTAAAGTTTTATTCAAATACTTGCTTTGTGCATTTTTATTATCAAACAGGTACAGATGTGGAAGACTATCCATATTAAGAAAATTCTGAATTTTTATGATAGTTGGGGCATTTAAGTCTCTAAAGCTTATTTTCTTATGAATTGTATGTGAAATCCTTTTGCTGTGGCTTGTGTTCATGGGACATTCTGTAGAGCACCGTTTGCTAAACCGTTTCAATTCGCTGTTTTCAGTGTTAAACCCTTTTAATAAATTCTAAGGTGCTGAATTTAAAACTGAAGAAATTTGAGCAATAAAGTACACAAGGTTGTGCTAGTTTGTGAATATTAGTTACAGCTAAAGGCCATTGTTAGGCACAATGCAACAACCCTTTCAGCCAAGACTATATTCACAATATAACAAGCTTTCAGTTCCTTATTACTATTGTGGAACATTATTAAGGATATAAATTGTATAAAAATATTTTTTTATTAAACCGATTAATTCATTCATTACTATCTTACTGCTGCTTGTCCCTGACATGTTAACACTACCAAAATGCCTTTTTTAGTATATATATATAGTATTGAAATTTTTTTTTGGGACAACCTAAGCCACACATACAATGTATGAATATCATTGTTATTAGAATTGGTCTTTGATAAATGACAACCCAGTGCACACAAATGTTTATATTAAAGCTTTGCTCATTTTGCTAATTAATTGTACAAAAAAAGTCCAAACACTTCTTGAATTTCAAATTTGTTTGCTTGAAAAACATTTACTGTCTTTAAAAAAAAATGGCACTTGGTTTGAAATGTTATCTAATAAAGTGACATTTGTGTAAGATTTTTTTCCTGTATTTATCGACTTGATTAAATCCTTTGACCAAGTTTTCAGCAGAACTGTTTCCACACGTGTAAAGGCTTCTGGTACTGTTTAGAGGCTCTAGGAGAGGGACAGCAAATGTGTTAATATTACACTGCAAACTGTTCATCTTTTTATTTCTTGATTGCTGTCAAGGGAGTGAATAAACAGTAACATATTAGAACTTCAACTTAGGAAATTCAGCTTGTGAAAAACATCAAATTACATATTTACTCAGATATTAGTGCTTTATTAAAGTGAACGTATCCATAAAAACATACATGATATTATCTGTATGGCTCAAAAGGATGGCAGAAAAAGTTTTTGACTATTACAGTGAATAAAACTTCTCGTGTTTAAATACGTGAACACAGTCCTTACATATTATTCACAGGGACTGCAGTACCTGATGTTGCTTCTGAAACAGAACAGATATAAAGTACAGTATTAGAATTAATGTATTGTAAAGACTAAAGTATAGATGTCCAGACATAAATACTATAAAGTCTGAAAAAACAAGTGAGACTCAGCTCACCCTCCAGACTCAGGCACCAATATCCTATCCAGTGCCACCATGTTTTTAAGTTCTGGCAACTTCAGCGTCCTTTTTATACCTTAAGTTTAAAATGATATGTTTTACGCTATACATGTGCTAATACATTTTTAACATCAAGCTGAATAAGTTAACATTAGTTAAATGATGAGCTAAAATTAGCAGTGAACAACTGAATAATTAAAAATGTCAAATCTTTTTATAAGATACCTAATGAAACTCATTAGAAATAAAACTCGTGGCAGATTTATTCAGACGTAAAATAAGACATCACAAACAGGTTAAGTAAAACTATAATAAATATGTAATATAATGCATATATTTAGCAAAATGCTCCTTTCTAGAGTTATTTCGTTTCTAGTTGACTAACGAGTTATGGACATTGATTGGCTTACCTGAGGTAAACGTTATAGGACATATTGTTTATAAACTGTTTTTATTGACATCGATTACATGAGATATGATACACTGCAGTAAGTTATGTTTCCTTCATAAGAGACTTAAAAAAAACAACATCCCGAGCCCAAACTTTTGAAAGGTAGTGTGCATGAAACCTAAATCCGTTTAGTCTACTGAGCTTTGAAAGAACAACCTTTTAACAATGACAAAACACACACATCTTCATCTGCTGAACTTCTGTTTTCTTGTCTGTGAACAGAAACGCAGGATGATTTGGAGTCGCTTACTAACGATATCAAGAAAATGGCCAACAATGCTCGTAACAAACTGAAGAGTAAGTGTCTTTGCTCGTTTACAGGACTGCTTTGTGCTGTTCTCATTAGGTGAAAGAAATAGGCCACAAAGAACTAGGCTTGGCTTTACAAACACTTCTGACCCAGAATAATGTGAGCCATTTCTCTTTTACCTTTAGAAAAGCAATATTTACCCTGTTGTCAGTGTTATTTGAGTATCACTGAGATGCTACTTTTCATATTTGTTTTCATTTTATTTCAAGTTTTAGTAATTGTTTGTGGTTTTGATATTTTTATAAGTTTTTTCTTTTCTTTCTTTCTTTTTTTTAAATGTCTATATATATGTCTTAATGCCGTTTTAGTCCTTTTAGTACATCAAATTAAACTAAATGAGAACTAAATGTTGCTTTGGCAACTAGTTGAAAAGTAAGGTTAAGGTTTTTTTTATGATGTTATTTTAGTTTTAGTTAACTAATAATATAATGTGTGTGTGTGTGTGTGTGTGTGTGTGTGTGTGTGTGTGTGTGTATATGTGTGTGTGTGTGTGTGTGTGTGTCCATACAGCCATTGAAAGGAATCTCGAGATGGAAGAAGTGGAGAGAGTATCAGCCGACTTGAGAATACGCAAATCACAGGTGAGTCTGCTTCCCGCTCAGGTAACACACACAAATACACACGCTCTCTATTAACTCTGCCCTCATGTTGCCCTGCCAGCACGCCGTACTTTCCAGGAAGTTTGTTGATGTGATGACCAAATACAATGAAGCTCAGGTGGACTTCAGAGAGAAAAGCAAAGGTCGCATTCAGAGACAATTAGAGATCAGTAAGTCACTCCTGACTAAACAGCAGTGCGTGAGACAGCTCTTATCAAACAGTGTGCAGCATACAACACGTTTCTTTCTCAAGCTTGTGGTTGAAGCATGTCAAACTGACACTGTGCTATTCCCCTTTTCTGTCGTTGACTTGCTTTTGTTCTGCTTCTCTCTCTAGCTGGTAAAACCACAACTGATGAGGAGCTGGAGGAGATGCTGGAGGGAGGAAACACAGCCGTTTTCACAGCGGGGGTAATGCATGCGTGCATGTGTGTGTGGCAGAGCTGGAGTCAAAACCTTTCCCTTCCTCATAGCGTGCTCCCATAGGCAGTGCACGAGATCTATAGTCTAAAGCAGCACTCAGAAAAAGAGGTACAAAGCTGTCACTGTGGCGCTAGCCTTTCAAATTATACTATGTATTAGAGCTGTCAAAAAAAATTAACATTTCGAATATTCGTCGAATAAAAAAAAAAATCCACATATTAGAATGCAAAAACGTTGCATTTGAATTTTAGGTCTATGTCAGCCATCAGGCAGCCTTATCAGTGGCGCACGAAATGCGACGACGATGTAATGGCGCTTTTCCACTGCGTGGTACGACTCGGCTCGGCATGGCTCAGTACGGCACGGTTCGGTTCGGCTCGGCACGGTTTGCGTTTCCACTGCAGACCTGTCAGTACCGCTTTAGAGTGGGCGGGATTATTCACATGTCATTATAGTTGCGCCGCCTCTACTGCCGCGACTCCTAAAAAACGTTTTCATTCCGCGTCGCCCCATCAAGCTCTCGCTGGATCCGCTCCTCTGCTATCAACGAGAGGAACGTCTGTACTTACTCAACAGACATCAAAACGTTTTGGTTGTTAAAAAAAGGTGCACTCGTTCAAAACAGTTGCGTTCAATCCTTCGCTGGCTGTGCTGATTTAAATCTAGCGGTTCTGTTGTGTTTGTGTCACAAGTTCAGTGACGCAGGTAGTGACGATTCTCTCCGGCCAGTCCGTGATCAGCAGAGTTTACACGTCACGTTTTGGTAAAGGTACGGTTCACTTGGAACCCCAACCAAGGTGGTAATAAAAAAAGTACCAGGTACTGTACCCAGTGGTAAACCCCCAAAAGTGAACCGTACCGAGCCGTACCGTGCCGTACCATGCAGTGGAAAAGCGGCATAAGTGTCATTGCATTTTAATGCTTTTGTTAGCCTATCCATTTGAACCCACTAGATGCGGCGCTGCTACGTTGTTCATTCAATATATTGCAGAAAACAAGAACATCAATGCGGAGAAGATGTTGTTTACATCAAAACTGAAACCAAGCCATTCACACAGAATGCATATTTATCACATTTTCTAGAGGGACATCTATCAGCGTTGCACACGCGTCTCACACAAGAGAGCGCATGTTTAGAAAGCTATGTAAAATTAATGTAAGTTCAACTTTTAAAAAACATGTCTCAAGACTTTATGGCAATTTTTCCCCATCCCACTGTATCTCATGTTTTTAAATTAAATACATGCATGGTGCTGTTTTTTTCTAATTGTTTAAGCAATTTTATTAATTATATATGGTTTATAAACATTATTTTAAACATTATGCACTTTTTTCAAAGATAGTCGTGTTATTTTATTACGCTTTGAAGAAACGTGCATAATATCTAGCTCGATGCGCCCTCTTGTGGCCTCAGGAGAGATGCCAAAAGCTTTTTTCCCCCCTAACTGAAATTATGCCTTTTAAATTCGAATATAATTCGAATTTTGATAATATTTAAGTAGAAAATTCGATTTGAGTTTTTCAGTCATTTTGACAGCCCTAATATGTACACTTAAATGCTAATATACATTTTTTTAAGTACTAATATGTATCTTTAAGGCAATGGCATTCCGTCCATATATATACAGTATATGCTCCGCATACCCAGGCCATTTGAGAGAATAAGTTCACGGGATAATTCATATAAACAAGATTATAAGTTGATCCCTTGTCATTTGAAATGTAACTTAAAGCTTAAAGAGTTAGGAATAAGTACGTAAAATGATTTGTTTGCCAAACGGCAGTAATTTTCTGTAAATCTACATCATTTATGGTTGCTTCCGGGCAAGCGGATTCTCCGCAGCTTTCTCGTCTCCGCTCTGTTGCTATGACTCGTCAGGATTATAGCGCGTTCTCAGTGATTTGCTGGTCTGCGCCAGATTTAACTTAATGTATTTTTATTTTCTCAAGCAAAGCAAATTTTAAAAGTCCACTGAACAACTTACATTTTTGGTCATAGACAACTTATGTTGAAGATATACGTTACTGTCAACGTTATTGCCTAAGCGGTTAAAAAAAATTTTTTTTTACCTATATAAAATTTTAATAATAACAAACATCATATTGTTTTGCGTATGCTCGTGTCGCTTACAGTTGAAGTCCTTCTCTGATTTTATTATTGTTTGCAAGGTTGCAACGTTACTTTGCAATATTTTAAATACTTTTGGGTATTTTGCATGGTCTGTTATTGGAGTGTCACACGGGTGGGAGTTTTAACTCCTATTCACTGTGAATAAAAAAATAATTTATCTGATGCAGAGACACATATAGACCGGTGGAATCCCCCCATCTCCCCACTCTCTGATTATGTATCATAACTTAACTACGTGTAAATGTTATTTGGCGGTTTTTACTTGGAAAACCAGCTATATTTTTCTTGCATTCGAATAACAATGGAGTAAACCTGAAACGATAGCAGAAGGATAGGAGATGAATTGCATTTACAAATAAGGTAGGAAATGTGCATACTTTTACATAGAGACCTGCCACGGTGTTTCTTATTTGTCATCTTGATCCCTTTTGAGTGTCCTAAAAGCCAATGGGGGTGGGGGGGTCTATCACTCAGCATACCCAGTTAGCCGCTCGCCACTGCTTTAAGGTACTAGTATGCACCATTTAGGGTTAAAAAATGTAGAAGATCAGATGTACCCTTTAGCTTTTGTACCTTAGGATACCATCCCAGTGGCAGCTTTTGTACCTTTTTTTTGGTTCTCAACCAGGGAGCATCAAGATGGCTTAAAATGATTTAAAATAAGATTAAACAACTACAAATCAACATATTTCTTATTTTATGTAACCCCTTCAACAACTGTTTTCTTTAAAGAACCAGGGTTCCCAAGGTTTTGGAAAATATGGATGTATTATGTAGCCTAATGTTAAAAGTGTGATTTCTAGACCTGAAAAAGTCAATTAAGAGTGTAAATTAATTAAGAGAATCTTAAAACAGAATCTTTTAAAAAAAAAACAAATATACATTTTTTAAATTATTACCAGATTTAAAATATTTTATTGGGTAGAAACTCTGAGTAATAAATCTATTTTTAAATCCCTATCCAGTAAATCACAAATGACTGGAAGAGTCGTGGAAATGTATCGTTTAAAAGAAAGGCCTGAATAACATACAGCTCTTAACATTTCTGGAATCCTGAAATTGTATTATTTTAATTTTAGAAATTTAGTATTCAGTGTACGGCTAGCTACTTTTTTGTTCGTTTTCAGTTATTTTAATATTAATAATATTTATAATTAACATTAAAAAATATATATTGTTCAAATTAAATATGTCATTTAATTAAAATGGTTTTCTAGATCTTGACACTGCAGATTTAAAGTGGCACAAAATAAGATTTTGGTCATATTGCTCACCTCTAATGCAGCATATAAACTGTATTAAAATATGTGGACTCTGTCTGGCATTGGAATCAGCACAGCAAGCAGTATTTTGTCATGAATGTAACAGTTGAGTGATGCATTGTTTCCTGTGATTGTGGTTGCTGTGTAAATACAATCTTATCTCATAGCATAAATGCTACTTAAATGCAACTTCCGTGGCGACTTCACAGCAGTCAAACCTGTATAACTTTCTTTCTTCTGTTGAACACAAAATAAGCTATTTTGAAAAATGTGAGTAAGCACACAGTTTCTGGTCCCCATTGACTTCCATAGTATTTTGTCCTTACAGTGGAAGTCAGTGGGGACCATTAACTGTTTGGTTACAAATATTCTTCAAAATATCTTCTTTTATGTTTCAGAGAAAAAAGAAAGTCATACAGGTTTGGAACAACGTAAATGATGACAAAACTTAAATTTTTGCGTGAACTATCCCTTTAAGACCAATTTGAGATTAAAGGGGTCATATGATGCGATTTCAATTTTTCCTTTCTCTTTGGAGTGTTACAAGCTCTTGGTGCATAAAGAAGATCTGTAAAGTTGCAAAGACTAAAATCTCAAATCCAAAGAGATATTCTTTATAAAAGTTAAGAGTCAGCCACGCCTACCTAAAACGGCTCGTTCTAACACGCCCCCACATGTCTACATCACTGTGTGGGAAGATTTGCATAACGCTGCCCAAATGTTCACGCAAAGAAAGAAGGCGTAACTTTTATTCTCGCTTTAGTATTGTTGCAGCTGCCGCCATGTCGTGAAGGCGCTGTGTGTTTCGTTGTAAAAGTGAAACTACTTTGTTTGGCCTTCCAAAAGAAGACGATATCTGCTTCGTCATGCCTAGAGCTGATCCATGCGGAGCTGATCCACATGTGACGTCCAGCCATGTGGTTGCCGCAAGCCCGCCGGATGCTCCTTCATCGAATCCGCCGGCTGCGTCGTTCTCAAGCCCACCGGCCGCTGCTCACTCAAGCCGGCCTCCACTCACTCTAGGCCGCGGCTCACTCTAGGCGTGTGTGACGCTGTTTCGTTGTGAAAGGGAAACTACTTTGTTTGGCCTTCCAAAAGAGGACACAACTAGAAATCAGTGGTTAAGTTGTATTTACAACACTGTTCCAGAACAGTTTAACCCAAATATTCAGATGTGTCCAGTGCATTTTATGGAGGACTGTTTCCTGATCCTGGGAGAGTAGACTACAGTGCCGGCTGTTCTGACTTACAGACTGTAAGTACGTTTTTTATATTTAAAGAATTTGCCACTGACGATTCAAACGCGAGTTGGGCAGTGTAGAGTAGCACTTGTTGTTTGTCGTTTCTCCGATCACAAATGCAGACATGGTTTTATGTTTGCGCGGCACGATGCAACGCAACGCGTAAAAGACAGTATAAGTCATTATAATCCGTAATTATGTCCCCACTGGATGCAACAAATGCCTCGTTTATGGTTTTAATGTTTTTGTCGCATTGCTCCGGCCGGGACAGGGCATCACAATATGGTAAGGGGCGTAACATTTCCGTCACACGCTTCAGATATTCGGCCAATCACAACGCACTGGATAGCTGGCCAATCAGAGCTCACCTCGCTTTTCAGACCAATGAGCTTTGTAAAAATCAGCGCGTTTTTGAACCTTAAACCGCATAAACACATTTCATTACACCAAATACACAAAATAAAATTCTTTTTAGCAACATCATATGA